TTCAATGTCAAGTTCAAGTTCATTCTCTCGCTAAAATAAAGTTGTGAAGAGCACATCAAGCTACGGGAATCTCCCTTACATTTCTCATGTCTAGGAACTTCAGTTTCCGGAATTTGTTCAAACATTTTTCTGCAACTCAGACACTTTCGGCCAGGATATAAGGCTTGGCAGTACTTCCTGGCTATTAAGTGTCTTGCAGAAATTGCGGAGCTAATAATACAAAGGTCCTTTGCTCATGTTGAAACGGTCAACAACACTGCGGAATGTTTCAGTGTTGCTGACATACCATAGGAAGACAAGTTTCCTTCTTTCAAGACGGATAGTCCTTGCATCTGTGTGTGGCCCAAGTAGCTCAAGTAACTCCTGACCAAAAAATATCAAATGAAAAAATTAAAAAGTCTTCAGCAATTTTTCCATGTAAAAAATATTTTAAGTTGTGTGCTTCAAATATTGACACGGCTACTCTATCTGGTATTACAGGAGCTGACACAGCTATTCCATGTGTTATACGGAAACTGACACCGCTACTCCTTGTGGTATACAGGAGCTGACACAGCTACTCCATTGGGTCAATATACAGGAACAGAAACTGCAGTGTTTCAGAAGGTCTGGTCATACACAATACCGGTGAAACATCATCATTAAATTCGGGAAGATGGACTATATAAGTCTACAAAGCTTTCCATGACAGATCATAATACAACTAAAGCCAATTCGAGCTGTTGCAGACCCTGGAACTGTGGAAGCATGATTAAAAAACAGTAAAGTTTTAATTAGCCTTAAGTAGGTTCATAATAATATTTAACTGTAATCTTTCATGATAAAAATTACGAGGGGTTTATGATGGTGTTTTTAGTTGTTTTAAGCTAACCCATCATTGCGTGGATCGATGCTCATGATATTAATCACTGGATTGTCTGGTCCAGACTCGATTTATTTACAGACCGCCGTCATATAGCTGGAATATGACTGAGTGCGGCGTTAAACAACAAACCAACCAACCAACCAATCATGTTCTGCATGTGATTTCAATCATTACTGTGGCCAGACAAATTCTTTAATTGCTTTATGGAAATTGCCTACTCAATTTTCTTGCCTTGGTAAAAAAAAATGCAACTTATAACTTCTAATTTATAAAATATATACTATTGATTAATTGTATTTTTAAGCACAGTATGATCATGTTTCCATTGTTGTACAGATAACCTCTTTTTTCCTCATTCTTTTTATCTCCTTCATCTAACAATCAAGAAAAAGATACCTTCTAATAAACAAGGAATTCATTTTGTCTGGCCTTCTTTTTATCTCGATTCCGGGGTAGAATAGGTCTTCAGCAACACATGCTTGCCGTAAAAGGAGACTATGCTTGTCGTAAAAGGCGACTAACGGGATCGGGTGGTCAGGCTCGCTGACTTGGTTGATGCATGTCATCGATCCCAATTGCGTGGATCGATGCTCATGATATCAATCACTGGATTGTCTGGTCCATACTCGATTATTTACCATACATGAGTATTTTGAGCAATGTGCCACAACAAAGTTTGTTTGTTGTTTAACGCCACACTCAGCAATATTTCAGCCACATGATGGCAGTCTGTAAATAATTGAGTCTGGACCATACAATCCAGTGATTGACATGAGCAACGACGTTAGGCTAAGAGTTGAGCAATTTCTTGTCGTTTTGCAATGCCTGTTTGTCAGTTCACATCTGTATTGCCGTCGTCAGCTGATGCAGGTTCTTCAATGTCAAGTTCAAGTTCATTCTCTCGCTAAAATAAAGTTGTGAAGAGCACATCAAGCTACGGGAATCTCCCTTACATTTCTCATGTCTAGGAACTTCAGTTTCCGGAATTTCCTTTTCAAAAGACCTAAACAGCGTTCAATGTCAACACGTGTAAAACTGTGTGCACTGTTATACTGCTTTTCCACATTTGTCAAATGGCCATTGTCCCGAAAGGCCACAAGTAGTGAAGCTGAGAGACTATAAGCCGAGTCCCTAAGCAAGTGACATTCCTTTGGTAGGGGATCATCAGCCAGATTGTGTGCCAAAGGACTGTTTTTAACACTCTGACATCATGGGCAGATCCAGGATACGCACAATAAACATTTATAAATTTCAATGTGCTGTCACAAACACTGCAAATGCATGGCAGGGTATCCTTTCCTACAGATGTAGGAATCCCTGAATGCACTTGGTCCAGGAATCGGTATAAACGATCCTTCGACCATCCCGACTACACCCTGGAAAGCCAGCTCTGTTCGAACATTTTTCTGCAACACAGGCATAATCAGAAACTGTGGGCCAGGATATAACGCTTGGCAGTACTGCCTGGCTATTAAGTGTCTTTCAGAAATTGTGGGGATAATAATACAAAGGTCCTTTGCTCATGTTGAAACGGTCAACAACACTGCGGTGTCCTTCTTTCAAGACTGATAGTCCTTGCATCTGTGTGTGGCCCAAGTAGCTCAAGTAACTCCTGACCAAAAAATATCAAATGAAAAAATTAAAATGTCTTCAGCAATTTTTCCATGAAAAAAATATTTTAAGTTGTAGGAATGTGCTTCAAATATTGACACGGCTACTCTATCTGGTATTACAGGAGCTGACAAAGCTATTCCATGTGTTATACGGAAACTGACACCGCTACTCCATGTGGTATACAGGAGCTGACACAGCTACTCCATTGGGTCAATATACAGGAACAGAAACTGCAGTGTTTCAGAAGGTCTAGTCATACACAATTCCGGTGAAACATCATTTAATTCGGGAAGATGGACTAAATAAGTCTACAAAGCTTTCCATGACAGATCATAATACAACTAAAGCCAATTCGAGCTGTTGCAGACCCTGGAACTGTGGAAGCATGATTAAAAAACAGTAAAGTTTTAATTAGCCTTAAGTAGGTTCATAATATTATTAAACTGTAATCTTTCATGATAAAAATTACGAGGGGTTTATGATGGTGTTTTTAGTTGTTTTAAGCTAACCCCCAACAGGTCCGTCATAGTCATGGAAAATCGGATATCCATCGGCTGTGTTGGTTCATATGCTACTAAAATAGCAGCACATTTTATTTCTAATAGCTGGACTATTTTTAAAATTCTTTCATTGGGCGATGAAGCTCATAATGTGCAGAAACATATTGTCTGCTTGGTTAAAGGTAAAAATTCAATACATAAGCAATAGACCCGTTAAGATTCCGGGGTAGAATAGGGTAACTATTGCTTATGTTGGTTGGTTGGTTGGTTGATTAACGCCGCACTCGGCAATATTCCAGCTTATATGACGGCGGTCTGTAAATAATCGAGTCTAGACCAGACAATCCAGTGATTGATATCATGAGCATCGATCCACGCAATTGGTTGGTTGGTTTGTTGATTAACGCCGCACTCAGCAATATTCCAGCTATATGATGGCGGTCTGTAAATAATCGAGTCTGGACCAGACAATCCAGTGATTAATATCATGAGCATCGATCCACGCAATTGGTTGGTTGGTTGGTTTGTTGATTAACGCCGCACTCAGCAATATTCCAGCTATATGACGGCGGTCTGTAAATAATCTAGTCTGGACCAGACAATCCAGTGATTAATATCATGAGCATCGATCCACGCAATTGGGATCGATGACATGTATCAACCAAGTCAGCGAGCCTGACCACCCGATCCCGTTAGTCGCCTTTTACGACAAGCATAGTCACCTTTTACGGCAAGCATGGGTTGCTGAAGACCTATTCTACCCCTGATCTTCACGGGTCTATTGCTTATGTATTGAATTTTGACCTTTAACCAAGCAGACAATATGTTTCTGCACATTATGAGCTTCATCGCCCAATGAAAGAATTTTAAATATAGTCCAGCTATTAGAAATAGAATGTGCTGTTATTTTAGTAGCATATGAACCAACACAGCCGATGGGTATCCGATTTTCCATGACTATGACGGACCTGTTGGGGGTTAGCTTAAAACAACTAAAAACACCATCATAAACCCCTCGTAATTTTTATCATGAAAGATTACAGTTAAATATTATTATGAACCTACTTAAGGCTAATTAAAACTTTACTGTCTTTTAATCATGCTTCCACAGTTCCAGGGTCTGCAACAGCTCGAATTGGCTTTAGTCGTGTTAACTTCCAAGTTGAAACAATAAGTTAACCCAGAAACAAAGCTAGAGTCTTCAGTGTGATACCAACAAAATACAAAGACTGCTATAAAATGAACAATTGTGTTAAAAAAATTAACTTGGTATACAAATCAATACAAACTACTGCATAGCAATTACAATGGCATAGCGTGGCAGTACACAATTCAATCCCAGTACAAATACAACGGCTGTATCAAATAAAGTGGTGATAGCAAAAATGTCCGTGATAATAGTACTCACCTAGCAGTAACAGTGATCAAGCTTCCAAGATAGGCCTAGGCTTGATATCCAGGGTGAAAACAATGATCTTTACAGAACAGCGGGTCTTGATGTAATGTGAGTTGAAATGTGAGGTGATATAGGCACGATTATATTTAGTTCAAAACACTTTAACAAAAGTGACAACACTTTAACAACGCGTCAATCGTGAAGGCCATGTTGACACTGTGTTAATGCAGTCAATATATGACCCCACACTGTAACTTTCAGTGTGAGGTAGTTATAGAAATACTCATATCAAGATTATTCAAACCAATTTGTTGGAACCAAACTACCATATGTACTGTTATTAATTATTATTTACGTGTTGTGTGTTTTAACATACATATGCGCATATTATCTCTCGTTTCAGGAACTACTCGTATTTAGAACATTTCAATCATGATAGGGTTCCTGTGGTTGAAAGTAATTTCTTACCCCAGTCTCTATTGAACCAATATATCTGTACACAAATTACCCAGACACATATTACTTTCCACAAACTGATTCAGAAATGAGTGATGTTTAAATAGACATACTCAAATTTAATAACATGTCTTCAATTTTCAAAAACATAAAAAACAAATTCGGTATATATTCTTTTGCCCTTAGTTTATTAAGTTAATTCAACAGAAACACAATATAGGTGGGGTGTATATTACATAATATTTTCACATGTTCACAGTTGATGCGGGTATCCTAGCGCACTGTTTTCGAGACCCTAAGACGTATATCTGATTACGTGTCTTATAACAATCGCTATAAAATTAAGTCTAACCTTTGACAACATTTATTTCGGTTTACAGTTGGATAGTCAAATGGCCAAATTTGTCAATTTAATCGTGATTATGCCTCGCCAAGTGAGACGAGTCAATCAGGCGCCATCTTGTTACCGTCACCTGATTTCGAGCCCCTCTACGACAGACAAGTTAAGAATAGACAATCAGCATAATCAGTCACATGACATTACAGCCAGCAAGTTGACAAACAGCAGCCGATGTATCACCGGTGCATGCGATGATTCTGGCGAAAAAATATCAACAGATCAAGTTTATTCATCAGTGCAAAAGTAAGTTTTGAAGTATGTTTTCATACCTTTTTGAACATCTTACCTCGTCTAGCTTAATTCGTAACATAACTTCAGCGACAAGAGGCGAACATTTTGATGTCTTCAGTAGGCTTTGAAGACTGTACCTTGATTACGCCATAAAGCGCGTGGTTACGTTTTGTTGAGGGGCTCGGAAAGAGGTGAGATTCGAAAACATGTTATTTGGGGATACATTTGGCTATTACTCTGAATACATGGTTTTTAAGTCAATATTTCTTTTTAATAAACGAATCTCAACACATTATCACACTCACGCACCTCATTGACACACTGATTCGGTGGTGATGAAATATTGCCGAATAAATTAATAAGCAGTGATATTCAGTGGTAAGTGATGATTCCAGCTGCTTTAACACCAAAGACTTCAGGATACAAACTTTTCCTCACATGATACAGGGGAATTCGGCCAAGAAGTTTAACATAAGCTTCCGGTATATCGATGAGCTGATATCGTTCAATAATGGTCATATAGCCAATTCATTTTCTTGTTTTTTAGGTGAACAATTGACTTGCCTTTGCATGCGTATGTGACGGATGCCACTGGTGGGACAGGATACGCTCACCTTTTCGCGAACACCTGGTATCATTACTATTTGATAGTGATTCATTAACACAAGCTCATGATATCATTGTTGTTGTTGCTGTTGTTGTATCTCAAGTTAAAGCATGAAAAAGCAGAAACTAAAATCATAAGTCAACCCTGTCTTCATTTAACGGTTCTGTTGCTGAGTAATGTATTGCTAAACAATGTTGTAATTGAATTTCCACTGCTGTTGAATTTTATACTGCCATTGAATTTTGTACTGCCACTCTACTTGCTTTGCAGTAATTTGTATTGGCTTGTAGACCTGGTTTATTTCTAATACAAGTGTTGATTGTTTAGCATCTCTTTGTTATTTGTTGGTTTTACGTTTTGCTTTCTGGGTTAACTTACTGTTTCAATTTGGAAGTGGACACATAACAAGACATACATGTGACGCTCCAACAGGAGTGTTTCAACCTTGTTGTGCACAAATGATACATTGAATTGTGTGTGTGTTTTCTAAAGTATCTATCACTTATTCAGAAACACCTCTTTTGTTCATTTTAGCCATCAAGACGTCTTCAAACCTCTCGTTTTGAGCCACTTTGAACCAATGCTTCCAGTCGTTGCTTTGCCCTGAAAAACCGATGAACGTGAATGTATATGATTAAATTCTTAATATTAAATATGTATATGCTTTAATAATGAAACTATTAGGAGAAAAGTGAAGAGACATATTTGACGACGTAACTTTGCTACCGAAACTACTTTACTGGACCGTTCTGTTAGAATTTCTAAAAGGTGGAACATTAAAACAAATTTGAAACAAAGGCCAATGGGGAGGTCCCTGATCATATTTAATTACATTTTTGACGCTTTTTCTTCATGCAAGTGATAATATTTGTACCTTGATGTTATAAAACATTACACAAAGTGTATCTAAAACAAACAAAATAATTTGAATATGATTTTGACGTATGTAAACGTGATATATGAAGGATTCATGTCAACTGATTAATGCTGAAGCACACTCCTACAAAAACCTGTTCTGACATGTTTGTTTCTTGTTCTCGACGCATTCTGCAATATTCAATTCACGGTGGCCTGTACGTGTGCGAGCCTGGACCAGTCAATCCAGTGTATGATACTACGAGCAACACGTAATCAACAAATTTACCAAATATGACCACCAAGTCATCAACCCTCTACGACCAGCATCGTGTATTCTAACCAGGAATCCCACGGGGGTTTGGACAATTGCAAGTTCCTTAATGTCACTCATATCATTAAGAAATGAACTCAGCTCTGGACCATCTTCAGCACTAGAGTGGAACCATTGATGATTTTCAACAGACAGAAACAAACAAAATATAAAGTAACCATTATATAACATGAGTGCTGAATAAAGGAGGCACTGACAGATGTGTCACATCAAGTGATGTGAATATTCACAAACAAACAGCTTCTAATTTGCAGGGGCGGTCGGGTAGCCTAGTGGTTAAAGCGTTCGCTCGTCACGCCGAAGACCCGGGTTCGATTCCTGACATGGGTACAATGTGTGAAGCCCATTTCTGGTGTCCCCCGCTGTGATATTGCTGGAATATTGCTAAAAGCGGCGTAAAACCAAACTCACTCACTCTTTCACTCTAATTTGCAGTACCTTTCCTGGGGTTAGTAATGAGCCCCAGTCGCCCGATGCGCCACAAAACGCTGTTAGGAATTGCGTCCCTGAGGTCGAGCCAAAATCCTGAAGCATGGGTTCGAATCCAACATTCACCCTGAATATGAAACCTTGTTGCTCGGGCCCATACTCGTTCTCATGGGTTTCCAGACCACTCACTCACCTTTCCTGAACATATTCCCTCCTTCCTTCCAAACAACGCCATCAGCCCTGGTTCCTGTATTGACTTTCTTGATGTTAGAAAAGCTGCAGGCGTCCGCGATCGCCTGGGCCCTCTCAATATTATTGGGTTTCTCTAAAAATGTGCTCAGTTTTTGTATGCACGAAACAGGGTCCTGCATAAATACAGAGAAGAACCTTTTTTAGCAGAGATTTGAATACATTTCTTCTTTGCTGTATATTGATATAAAATATGATTTTGTATGATCGAGTGTGTTGATGACTACAATGAACCAGAAGTTGACATCCATAAAGATGTACATTTTTTTTATTTACTCACCATCTTCAAACAGTTTGATGAATGTTGTATAATGCCGCAGTTAGCGATATTAAAGTTAAATTACTGCGTAATGTAAATATTCTTCAACAGAAAATGCAGGGACTTATCCAGGATCTATGTCATTTTAGTTGGCTCTTGCGACAGGCATGCATATCCTACTCCAATGGTATATTTAGTTTTATATTTGGAATATGTTTAAAATGAACAGGTTTTGTTTCCTTATCACGATTCAGGCTTTGATCAACTCACGCTTTTCATGTCTTCATATTTCAACAGAAATACTGGAACATCGGGATTATCTTCCCTTGCTTGTTTCCAACTTAGAGTGTGGTCGAACCAAGATCCGTATTCCACTACATCAGAGAAACATCGAGATCAAAACTCTGCAACTCAGTGTGTGAGTGTGTTTGTGTAAGCGTCAATACGAAATGTTTTTTCAGTTATGTCCACTTAATGTGGATAGAAAACCCGAAGTGATGCAGTCCTAAACTTAATACTTTGAGGACATCCACGAGTATGAGTATGAGGCTGCAAACCCAAGGATCACACTCAGAGCGAATCTTGGATTCAAACCTACGAATATAGTATCCTGGCACACCTAGGGGGTACCACTCTGAACAGTGAATTCCGCGTCTTAGGCAACTAGCCTCTACTTGTCCCTTGCAAAGTTATGAACGTGATTTGACCATGAAGGGACCATGAAGTGTTACAAGTCTCATCACCTGCACAGTACAATACAACCAAAGCCAACATACTGTCATAGATGAGGTCACCCGACATAGGGTTAACCGTCGCGTTCAAGATTGTTGCCCTCAAATAGTTACGGGGGTGTGCCTACGTGCATGTGTGTGTCTGCTTGTACTTGTTGGGACTATTGCCGGTTTCATAGTGTTTGCCCACTGAGATATATTGCAGCAGGTTAGCATGTATATCGCCACTTCAGACACAATTCACTGATTCCGAGCCGACTAGTCCTTGTTTTATCCCCCTAATGCCGACGTCAGTTGGGGTAACAATAAGTACCACCTTTTAACGTCTTTGGTAGGTCACGGCTGTAGATTGACCACCGATTGTCCGTTTTCTGGCAGATATGTTCTATCCACAAGACCACTCAGGCGGGTTTATCATAGATAGTCAATCGCCTTCTGTTGGTCTGAAAATTACATTTACCTTCACCACTGATGAACGATTCCAAATAGTCCTCCCACTTCCCATTGTACTCTTTGACAGGAACATGTCCATCATAGCTCCTCACTGTTTTCATTCCAAAAGTCATATTGTAGTAGGACACAGCAACGGCTTTGGGATCGCGGACTATATACACAACTTTGGGCTTCTTTGTTAAAACCTCTTTGGGGAGAAAACGAAAGTGGATATGGCTACCAAGCACTCTGGGGGATTTGATGGATTCCAGTAAACTCATTGGCGAGAAATCCAACATGTCCATTCCGCGCTCTCGCTCTCTGTATTCCAGATCTTCATTGACTATCATGCTGATGACTTCCCACAGCCAATGTGTCCCTAGAACATGTATGGAATAGTTTAGGTACCCCCTTTTAATATTCTGGGGGTAGGGTGAGTGAGTGAGTGAGTTGGGTTTAACGCCGCTTTTAACAGTATTCCAGTTATATCACGGCGTGTCAGCTTAATGTGGGAGGAAAGCCCGAAGTGATGCAGGTCTCAGACGTTTACCACTTCGGTGAAACCCACGAGCACGGGTATGGTGCTGACAAACCTAGAAACATAATCGGGGCGAACCGGGATTCGAACCCACAATCATAGGTTTCTGGCGTGCCCAAGGGACGCAACTCTGCACAGCGAATCGCGGCGCCTTAGACGACTGGGCCACCCGTGCCCCCCTCTGGGGGTAGGGTTTGGATGTTTGTTTGAGAGAGGATATATACCACTGTAACTTCTTTAAAAAGAGCCTGGGCAGTCGAGTAGCTGAGTGGTTAAAGCGTTCGTTCGACACGTCGAAGACCCGGGTTTCATTACCCACATGGTACAGTGTGTGAAGCCCATTTCAGTGTCCCCGGTCGTGATAGTGCTAAAAGCGGCGTAAAACCATACTCACTCATTCAAAAGGAGAGAAACAATGTGAATGTGAAGGTCCTACTAAAACTATTTTTTAAATATTTTTCAAGCATTTCCTTGAACTAACTATTTGAAAAACTACTTTGTTTGTAAATGACTCGGCATTTATCCATGAAATCAGATTCTGTTGAGAGTAAGTTTGGTTAAACGCCGCTTTGAATAGTATCAGCTTGATATGAGAAGATAGGTCTTAAAATTACCACTTTTGTGAACTGCACAAGCACAGCTGTGGTGCTGAAAAACCTAGAAATATAATCAAGGCGAATCTAGCATAATTGTTTCTGTCTCATCTAACGGACGCAACTCCGCACAGCGAATTGTAGAACCCTAGACCAAGGCGAATGATAGCTCCCGGTGCGCCCGATTTGGATCTGGGACACATATATCGTGCAGTTACCTGATTTTGGGTAGCTGCAAAGGATGACATCATCAGACCGTAGCGCCATGTCCTCCACCCGCTTCATGTGCTCTTCAAACGGAATAGGAAACCCTCCCCGGTAGAAATAACATCCTTTGTAGCAGTTGACAATCATGCTCTCTCCTCCACGATCGGTCAGTTCTTTTGTAGACATTTTTGTTTTCAGCTGCAGAGGACACTGATAGTGAGCGGCGTATTGTGTCACTTTGCCCCTGCTCAACAACTGTCGAGTCACCCCAGCCTGGGCACGGCAGTGCAGCCAGTGGTGTCACTTGTTACGTCTAGACTGTGCTGTGAATTGGGTTAGTGATAAATGAATGCCGCTGATAGAACATGTCATTTAATACGATCCGCACTGTGATTGCAGTTGTCGCACAAGTTAAAGCGTTACAGTTCACAGATGTTTTGTTGTGAACGATTTGGCATATTCATTTAAAACTGGCACCTCAACCTGAATACCGAATCTACACGGAAGACTATGTTTTACGGGTTCGTTTGTTTCCATGGTTTTACAATTCTATTCTAATCAGATTTAATGACATATATACAGCAGGTCTCCAGCAACCCATGCTTGCCGTTAATAGGCAACTAACGGGATCGGGTGGTCGGGTTCGTTAAAATGGTTGATGCATTTCATCGTATCCCAATTGCGTGGTACACGTGAAGATCCGGGTTAGAATAGGTCTTCAGCAACCCATGCTTGCCGTAAAAGGCGACTATGCTTGTCGTAATAGGCAACTAACGGGATCGGGTGGTCGGGTTCGTTGACTTGGTTGATGCATTTCATCGTATCCCAATTGCGTGGTACACGTGAATATCCGGGGTAGAATAGGTCTTCAGCAACCCATACTTGCCGTAAAAGGCGACTATGCTTGTCGTAGGAGGCGACTAACGGGATCGGGTGGTCAGGCTCACTGACTTGGTTGATGCATGTCATCGATCCCAATTGCGTGGATCGATGCTCATGATGTCAACCCCGGGATTGCCTGGTCCAGACTCGATTATTTACAGACCGCAGTCATATTGTTGGAATATTGCTGACAAATATTAAACAACAAACAAACATAACACCATGCTGCAACCAAGAAGGATATCGTCTCATACATTTGTCACGAGCTTTCATTCATGCACACACACATGTATAAATCCATAAATTTACATAAATATAAAGCAATATGTGTCATTCTATGCATGTCAAAATGCATGGATTATTCTCATAATCCTAATATTGTTTACAGTTTTCTTATCTACCTGAACTAAATCCGGATAAGCTCGCCCGGCGTTTTTACGTTTGGGAATGATATTTTCAAAAGTAAATTACTGTGTAAGATATCTGGTTCCAACGATGACACATGAAATGATTGTAACAGATATCGATCGAAATATGAAACTTAATTGTTTATTTCATCATTTACATAATAATAAGATATTACAATGTAACATTCGTATATACCTTAATGATAATCATGTCAGAGAATAATATAAAAAATATATAATTTCATTCAATTATGGAAATGAGTTCAATGTTAATGCCGTGCTGAATATTAAACAGAGGATGTATGGATTAAACGCAAAAGGTTTCATAAATGCTTTCGGAAACCTTTGATGAGTATTTCTGACAGCAATAATTTTATTATGGCTTCCTTACATTGATGGAGCGATCATCGGGACAGCAAGTGTTGGTTTCTTCTCGAATTGTCGCCACCCTGAAAGGGATTTACAGACGATCGGCGATTCCCGAGTTTCTACTTTCTAAACACCAAAGGCGTCTGGTGTGGCTGCGAATGAAATAGCAAATATTGGGTACACCTGGTATAGACAGAATAGAACCCTTTTACATGTTAACTGACCCGTGAAGATCCGGAGTAGAACAGTTCTTCAGCAACCCATGCTTGCCGTAAAAGGCGACTATGCTTGTCGTAAGAGGCGACTAACGGGAACGGGTGGTCATGCTCGCTGACTTGGTTGATGCATGTCATCGTATCCTAATTGCGTGGATCAATGCTCATGATGTCTGTCACTGGATTGTCTGGTCCAGAATCGATTATTTACAGACCGCCGTCACATAGCTGGAATATTGCAGAGTGCGGCGTTATACAACAAACAAACATACAAACAAAACATGTTAACTCCAAATGTGGATCTGAGGGTGTTGGTTTCTTAGTGAAAGATGCATTATTAATATATTTTGATGTTGCTGTTTTAGATACGCCATATGAAGGCGTTCTGTGGCTAAGGCTTGTAAATAAGAATGATTCAAAAAGATCTTTGACAGCTTCTGTGTGCTATTTATCCCCCGAGAACTCGACCAGGAACATAGATGCATCGGACTTTTACAATCATTTATTATTACTGTTGCCCAGGTATTATGAACCTGGCCTAACATATATTTGTGGTGATTTCAGCAGTCGCTGTGGGAATTTGCTTGACTATGTAGAATGAAATGACAAAATACGTCATAGACATATGGACACAACCATTAATTACCACGGCCGCCTTTTTACAGAATTTCCTACAAGTGCCAGCTACTGCATTAAGAATGGTAGGAAAAATACTCTAAACGACGTTACCTATATATCCTCACGAGGAACCTCAGTGCTGGACTACTGCAAATGCCCGTATGAGAGTTCACAACGCTTTTCTGATTTTAGGGTACTTCGACCAAGCGCTCTGGAGAAAGCAGGGTGTGTGACAACATGTAGCTCCAAGACTCTGCTGAAGCTTGACCACTCTCTTCTTACCTGGGTATTTTTTTGGTTTGGTTTTTTGTTTAACGCCGCACTCAGCAATATTCCAGCTATATGTTAGCTCCTTTGTGGGATTGTCAACCTTGCTTCTTTTATATGTGGTTCTTTCTCTTGAAATGGTTTGCCATCCGAGAAATGTTTGTGCAAGGGAAAGCGCGCGGTCAAATAAAGCTGTAATTTCACTTATGCATGATGTATACAATTTGTTTTTTTTGAAAAAAAATATATATAAGATGGAACAAATACACCATCAAAAGAAATATAACAAATGTCATGTGGAAGTCTACATGACAGTTGGCTTCGTTGAACTCATAAAACTTTGTTTTGATGTAACCATATCATTGCCAATAAGAATGCTAACTCGTGCTACAGACATTGTGATTTATGTTGAGAAAAGTCGGTTGAGCCGTGCATTTTGAAGCAGAATGTAGTCAAGTTATCTAAACTAATGCGTGGTGACACAACAGAGATTGGGTGTACATGAATATGATATCAGGTAATCTGGAAACAGTCAAATATTGCGTTAACAAAGCTGCACAGGTCAAATAAACTGGCCCAAGAAGAGTCAGGAACTGAAGGTCAATAGTTTGAGGTTTTACGAGTCTATAGTTTAGAAATGGCTTCACGGTATGGCGTCCAGCCCCAGTCAAGCCGCTGTAATGGCCTCACTGCCACATTGTCCCCGCAACTTGCATTGGTTTCCATTATCCTGAACTCGAACTCGACGCTAACTCGACTTACATCTGTCCTCAGTTCACCCCATACCTTTTCTCGAACACCCGTGCCATCACTACTGATAGTGATTCATAAACACATGCTCGTGATACAGTCGGAATTGTACAATCGACTCTGTTTTCGGCAGAGATTTCTTTTGAGTGAGTGAGTGAGTTGGGGTTAACGCCGCCTTTAACAATATTCCAGTTATATCACGGCGTGTCAGCTTAATGTGGGAGGAAAGCCCGAAGTGATGCAGGTCTCAGACGTTTACCACTTCGGTTAAACCCACGAGCACGGGTATGGTGCTGACAAACCTAGAAATATAATCGGGACGAACCGTGATTCGAACCCACAATCATAGGTTTCTGGCGTGCCCAAGGGACCCAACTCTGCACATCGAATTGCGGCGGCTTAGACGGCTGGGCCACCCGTGCCCCTGAATGTCAAGGATTTTAAATAAAAGTGCAAGAGGAGAGCCCATATGGGGACTGAACTTGCAGTCCCTGAAGCCGAAATACTTGCAGTTGGCCTAATGCAATAAACGCAGAGCATGAGATACCAAACATAAAATCCAAACTCAAGAGTGAATGACCTTGATAAGAGGCTCAATCTAAATGCAGTTGATTGCACAAGCCACAGTCAGTGTAATATTGTTCATACACCACAGCCAAACAATCTGCAATATGCATTTGCTGCAGCTATCAGAAGTTGAAATCATGACAATTGTCGGACATCCTCTGAAATAGTGGGCATTCGTCAAGTCCGTCGACAGTAATTTTGGGCAAATATCAAGCAGCAACAGTGCTAAATAGACGTTTGCAACACTACACTAGCCATTGACAAGAATGGTGTTATCAAAGTGCTGTGCCATTATGGATCCAGATGTTTCCTACTTTCAAGCCAGCCAGTTGACATTCGGTTATCAATATGTCATGCTAAAGCATTGGTGGATAAAGTTCACAACCTTAGGTGCAACACAGAGAAGATACTCCGATTCAGTAAGAAGTTGTGAAGTTGGACTGGCTTAGCGAAATCAACAGTTGAGAATGGGAAAGATTGTTGAGAAGCTTCTGCTGTATATTCAAGGTTGATTGGAAAAAGAAGTTGGGCGTGTCTTGAAGAACATACAAGGAACACTGTACATGAATTAAACATATTGCTGAATTTGTAGAAATTGTTGCTGAAGAACCTTACGTCCCGGTATTTACAATCAGTGCGAAGAATTATACAAAGAAACTGCCCTCCCAAAGGAAGGTTACAAGTTCCAGTCAGCTTCCAATTGTAAAGCCCAATGGGACAATAACCATAACAGAATTGTGATAAACATAAGCAGTTTCGAACAGTCACAGAGAGCTCGCAGCAGTCATCCTCTACATCAGTGTCCAGCTTTACAGCAATATGAGCTTACAGAAGAGGCTGTAGATCACAATATAACAGAAGGAATGTTTTGGCTATGTTTTAATCTGAAGACATGTCAATTCCTCTTTTAAATTGGATTCCAAAGCTTATGGTAGATATGTGGATGATTGGCAAAATAATGACTGAGTGAGTGAGTGAGTCGGGTTTTAACGCCGCTTTTAACAGTATTCCAGTTATATCGCGGCGTGTCAGCTTAATGTGGGAGGATAGCGCGAAGTGATGCAGGTATCAGACGTTTACCACTTCGGTGAAACACACGAGCACGGGTAGCGTGCTGACAAACCTAGAAACATAATCGGGGCGAACCGGGATTCGAACCCACAATCATAGGTTTCTGGCGTGCCCAAGGGACGCAACTCTGCACAGCGAATCGCCCAAATAATAACAGATGGTCATTTATGGGGTTAATATCGCTTTCTGCCG